GCCTATTGAAGGGGAGATGGCTGTGAAACACATTAGAATAACAATATAACTCATTGTTTATTCATAAATCTGGTCCTTCGCCGTCACGTGTGTATTGTATTTTTGCCCAACTAACCAACAGCAATGTTTTAGGAAAGATATACCTATCCGTGACTCGAACAACTAGTGAAATTGGAAATTGCAATTTGTGGATTTGGCAAAAATACAACACACACGTGACGGTGAAGGACCAGATTATGAATAAACGTTGACTGACATATAATTAGTTATATTGTTATTCTAATAAGTTTCACAGCCATTTTCCCTTCTATAGGCTATGTTAAACCAACCTTTATTACCATTGACACATCTTAAACACCGGGCTCTGATTAATTCCTGGTTAATCCCCGGCGCGTAGAGCGAAGCCCGTGATGAGGGTACTAATTCCGATCGGCTATTTACACCCGGGAAAGGAAAGAGTTAGCGAAGTCTAAAGTTCATCAATAATCGCGGGCGCATAGCTATGTATGGGTGGTCATCTCACTGATCTAAAAAAATATAGCTGTTTGCCAGCAATGAAGGATAAAAAAAGATGAACAGAAAGAAAAAACAAACATGACAGAAAGCTTGGAAATCATTTCACATAATAAGATCACCTTTTCGAAATTTAAAAAGAATTAAGAATGAGAAATCCGACCTGAAGTATAGAGTAAGTTTGTTTTAGCCTCAACATTTACATCTTTCCTTTTCATTGCTTGTGAAAGTTTCTTTGAATTAATTTGTTTTAATTTTTTATCAAAAAACTCAAGAAAGGGAGTTTTGGGTAGTTCTGTTAATTTTTGCTAATTTCTGTTAATTTTTGTTAATTTTTATTTTTCCTGTTTGGTACAAAAAATTTAAAAAAAAACAGTGATCGTGTTGCATGCCATGGCTAACATGACGCGAGCAACGCGAGCCTGCGTTCGAATCAGTGTTGGCGTAAATAAGAATACTTCATGCTTGTGTGATGTTACTCTGAGTGTATATCCACACCGGGCAATTTTGAAAATATGCCTGGCCACGGTGGGATTCGAAACTACGACCTACGATGTATTCCAAACCTACGACGTATTCCAAACCTACGACGGAACCTACGACGTATTCCAAAGGTCGTAGGTTCGAATCCCACCGTGGCCAGGCATATTTTCAAGCCTGCCTGGTGTGGATATACACTCGGAGTAACATCACACAAGCATCTTATTCACTAGCCTGCGAACAGGCTCTCTTTGAACTCTCTTTGAAATTTGAGAGAGAGCCTGCAGGCCTAGCTAATAAAAACGCGTCTGTGCGTTGCTTAGAACGACCATGGATAATAAAATAAATGGATTGGAAACTTCTGACGTCATTGACTGCATCCTTGTTGAAAAACGTGACGTCACGCGTATTGCGAATGTTATCAAAGTTTTCGGCATATTTGTTGTTTTGCTATATTTTCCACTTTAAAAGGGTGATCTTGAAGCGTAAACTGGTCTAATTGTTTTAAAAACATGCCTAAGCCACGACAAAGTATTCAAGGTAAATGTTTTTCGTCTTTGTTTTGTATTTTTTTACATTTGTAGCTACGAAATTGGCGTCACAAATTTTAACGAAATTTGCGATGTATTTTTCACTGTTTAGTCCTTGAAATATTTGCTAAAATTGACTGGGAATACTTAGAGTTTTCATCGTAGAATGGCGTGGTTACATTTATTTGCTATTTGACTAAAATGTTTAGCTGTATTATTGCTAAACATGCCGTTTTTGAGAATTTGATTTTCAACTAGGTTGAGGCATCCAACCACGCCATCAATCCCAGTAAAAACATTAGGTCACGTGAGCTAGTTTCCTATCCATTTATTTTATTATCCATGGAACGACGCAGGGTTCCCATTGGTTGAAATTGAATTAACGACATTATACTGCCATAAAAGGTAATTAAATTTACACAACAATGGTTCAAATCGAAAACATCGTTCTATAGCGACGAGTTGTATAGAAAACTAAATCTTTGTTTAAAGTTAAAGGATGGACAGTCAAAAGCTCTTAATAATATTCTAGACGGAAACGATGTTTTAGCTGTACTATATAAGAGAGTTTGGCAAATACAACGGCAACGTTCTTTGATCAACAATAGCATCTTTACTCTAAGACAAAGGCGACTATAATTTGCATTCTTGAGCATTCTAGTCAACCTCGTTCCCAGGGTCTCTCCGTCTGTCATCTGGGAGAGACCCTGGCTGCGGCTGGTCACGTGCCTCCCAGATTCTGGGAGGTAAATTTAATTGTAACTGTGAGAGGGGTGGGAAAGGAGCGTGTTTGTAGCGTTTTAAAATTGCAACTTTGGGTGATGAAATTTACTGTAAATTTGCGACAAGAAATCGTAAAGAGAACTCTTGAATTAATATTTATATCGTGACGTTCTACTCTATAATCTGGTGTCGAGTTACAATTCAAGCAAGTTGGATCAGATTTCATTATAGACTTGCCAAAGAAAGCACGCTTGCCGCTTGTGCGGCGTGGGAATATTAAACTGTGATTAAACCTAGCTACAAGAAAATATATATCTCTAGTACCGAACAGTGTGGTTGTTATTTATTTAGTATTAAAGTTTATCCTGATAGTCGGACCAAAAGAATTTATTTATTGATGTGGAATTGCAACGAAATAGCGAGATCTTTTGATTTCCGAAATATCGCCAACTGTATCCAGATTGTTGATCTATATAAAGAAAAAAACTTATCAAAAAACTTAAAGCCCGTCAAAAGACTATAAAATTGGCCCTTGGCATTGCTGAAACCAACGATCATGGTATATGTCAAAGTATAGCTGTCTGTTGAAAATCTACGGTATTAAAATCATACACCAAAGATAAGTCAAACGACAAATTATATGTCACTATATTATACATGTCTTTCAATGAGCACTGTTTAGTAGTGTTCACCACCTTTATAAATTTTGTAAACAGCTTTTGTTTTGACATGAATAAGCTTTAATTTTTTGCTTTATATGCATTCTCAATATATAGGAAGTGAGATTTAAATTTTTGCTTTGTGAAATAGAATACCGTTATTTTTGTATGGACAGCTTGCATCGTCTATATCATATCCAGGATTGCTTGTGTGTAAACGCATTATTCACTATATGACATTGACACTATCAAATAAATATCAGTAGCAAATGATTAATGAATTAGAGATAAACAGGTGATTCACAATGAAAACTTTAAAAATGTTAGTAGAAGTAGAAAACTCGAAAATTTATGTCTATTCGTATGACGCCAAATGACGGTCTGTGCGCATCTGACACTGTAAATTTGTGATATAGATTATAGTATGTTAACACAATATAATGATTAATAGAGACCAAGAAAAAGGCTAAAGTCTTACTATAATTACCGAATACGAATTTATATAGTAAATCCAGATAAATCAATGACTGAAATTTCCTCTATGCTTATGGACATTTCTCTGTTCGGCTATTATCAAATGTTTACATTTGCTAATATTTGGGCCAGTCCTAGACAATACTGTTTCTTTTAAAAATCTTATAAACAAGACGCGTAGTAACAAGTGAATCGGTGCAAAGCGTATCAACGTTTACAAGAAAGGACAAATGTAATTGCCTATTTTAAAAACATTACAATAAACGTTTGTTATAACCGCTCTTGAGTGTGAAGAGAGCATGCATTGAATAACAACATGAGAGAGCACTGCGAGTAACGATTTGTTTGGTTTCTTGACTTGACTGTAAGTAAGAATGTAACAATGTTCTTGTAAATTCGAAGCAAAGAAAATAAACAAAAATTAGCAAGTATTTTGAACGTAATAATTCGCAAAATCTATGTTTTTAACGAATATCCCACTGGAAGCATGTTGATGTAATTTGATACTTTCCCCACACCCCCTCAGGCGCTAAATTTTTGATGAAGCACGTGACCAGCCGCAGCCAGGGTCTTTCCCAAAGAAAGATCCTGGGTACGAGGTTGCATTCTAGTACGCCGTAGTTGTTCAAACTCAAGTCGTTGCGGTGTTTATGTGAATTCACAATTACTATTGCTACTTCAGGAACTTTCAGGGTTTTTTGAAAGAAAGACAAGTGCTTTAAATGTTGTTTTAAGTGCGCTGAATCGCAGGCTATTACATAAGGCGTGTCTGTATTAATTTGTCACATTGTATTTTACATTTGATTGACAACACTATAAATAGTGATGGGCACAGACGCATTTTTATTGACTAAACCGGCAGGCTCTAATTCAATTCAAAGAGCCTGTTCGCAGGCTACTTATTCACCTGAGTACATTACACCAACACAGCAAATTTCATGATTATTAGATTACACTGATATCGAAGGTACTAGACTCAGTTCCGAAATATCGCACAGTCGAACCGACCTGACCGCGTAGCTCAGTTGGCAGAGCATTGGGCTAGTATTTCAAAGGTCGTAGGTACGAATCCCACCGTGACCAGGCATATTTTCAAGCCTGCCCGATGTGGGTATACACTCAGAGTAACATCACACAAACATCTTATTCACCTGAGTACATTACTCCAACACAGCAAATTTCAAGAATACTTCATGTTGAAACAATGTTTGGAAAATGTGGGCGAGGGATTGTTGCGTGCATGTATTTCTAGTTTAATTAAAGAAAACATTAATTGGGGTTAATAAGTTAATATTCCTGTTTATTTTATCTCACTTCCCCACCACAGTTTGATTGAAGAACATATGAAACGAAAATTCATTATTTTCTCATTTCAAAGAACTATAAAAAACTGTAAAGTCTGTAAAGTAACTTATTTTGCAGGCTTTTCGCTCCGTTGCTTCGTTTTTGAGACATTTCAGCTAGTCAGTTGATACACGTGTCATGTTTCTACTTCAAATAATGAGTTAATCAACTTATTAGAATAAGTTGTATATCATTGCTACCGTGAACCTCCGAATATTAGCCACCCTCCGAATATAAGCCCCCCCCCCCCTGTATAAGCCGACAACATGTACTAACGCTCAACACTTGTTTATCACTATTACTATACTTGTTTTTATTTTTCACAGGAAATCGTGAGGTTAACCCTATACTATGACAATTCCCTAAACTTTACATTACATCTACAAAGAACAACGAATAAATTATAAAATTATCTTGACCTAGCTACATATCCATTAATTTTCTAAGTCTGTTCGTAAACTGTTGCAGACTATTTGATTCCACAATCTCTCTTGTTCCATTTACTTGCTATTCTCACAAAAAATGAGTATTTATAGCAGTTTATTTTTGCAGCTTTAAGGTACAACTTGTACTTATGGTTTGCTTTAATTCGGTTGTCTTTTGGTATTTAAAAAAAAAATTCAAACACTAACACTACTAACATTAAACTAACACTATTGTAAGAAAATTTAACCAAGAATATTAATTTTAAATTAACACAAATAGGGTTATTTCTTGGTTAACCAGGAAAATTTCAACCCGAGTATTTTTAGAGTGTATTATAGAAATTTTTCGGGGGAACATATTGAAATTTGAGGCGGCCACATTTGGATCACCTAGCTGTTTATTCGCCAGCAAATGTTACTTACCAACCAGAAACAGTAGGATTTTCTTCTGACATGCTAACAAAACCTTTTGTGGTTTTCATCGACATCTTCTGTGTCTTACTCTTTCAACACAGTCTTAATTGCAATATAAAATAAACGACCCAAATGGAAAATTAAAAACCTAATATGTACTAGTTAAAAAATATAAGCAGCCGATCTTTATCTGATATACAAACTCGAGTCAAAGGAGAGGGTTTGCATATCAGATAAAGATCGGATGCGAATTTTAAAGATCGAACGTGCCTAAAAAACGACCCATCTTATTGAGTTCATTGGCGAAGCAATTTTAAAAATAAACTATGCCGAGAAAATGAAAGCTGGGGCCGGTTGTATAAAAAGTGATCAAAGTTAACTGCAGTTAGTGGAAATGTCATTCAATAAGAAGCCCGTATTTGAGAGTTAATCACTATTTAACTACAAAATAGTGATTATATTAAAAAAGTGATTAAGGGTTTTATACAACCGGCCCCTGAAGTTTATGCAGGGCCTAAATCAGGACAAATCTTTATCCGATTTACAAACATTGATTAAACGTTCATTTCTTTTGAATTTTCTTCATGAATTATTAATGAGTTTTTAATTTAAAAACAAATAATAATTAGCGATTTAGATTAATTTCTCTGTTAACAGTCTCTTCAGTAATACGCCAATATTGTTTATGTATATTAACAAAGCTGCTATTGGCATTGGTTTCATCATTTTGTCTTCAGTCTTGTAACTTCAACTCTCGCGGTTTTCCAACAACTAGAAAATCATCTGGTCGAGCAACCATTTGAGGACTCGATACTTCAGTACTTGGCATCTCTGCTCCTTCAGGCAATTCAAACTTGTAATGATGTAATAACATTGAAGAAAAAGAAAACATCATCACCCTCGCCAGTGATTGACCAGGGCATTCTCTTCGACCAATGCCAAACGGTATGAATCCATGAAGTTTATTCCAGCCGACGAACTTGCCATTCTCATCCAGAAATCTATCAGGTTTAAATTTCTCGGGTTCTGCCCAATCTCGTTCATCCGACTGCACCTTGGGAAGATTCAGGCCGACCAATGTTCCTTTAGGAATATGGTAACCACCGATGGTTATGTCACGAATCGTGTTTGATCCGACGAGCGTGGTCATATGTGATACTCGTCCGACTTCACACAAGGTAGCTTGAAGATATAGCAGGTTTTCTGCGTCTTGCCTGTTCGGTAGACGATCACGCCCCACGACTTCGTCCAATTCATCGTGTATTTTGCTCTGCACTTTGGGATATAAGACCATATATAGAAAAAACCAACTTAACCATGTCGAGGTAGTTTCAGATCCGACAACAACCACATTCATCATTAAGCCAGGGATAGCAATATCTTTTGAGCCAATATCTTTCCCAGTTTCTTTGGCAAGCTCTTTTTCATAAGCACTGATAAAACTATCTGTGAGATTTCGTACGGTGCCTGGAATGTAACTCTCGTCCTGGGATCGATATTCCGGTGGGAAAATCTTCTCTCTAAGCTGTTGTGCCCGCTTTATGTCACGAGTAAACTGCGTGGGTAAGTAACATAGGAATGGAAACAACTGATACACTGTAACAATTAATGCCTGTCTGCCCATAATCGCGTCGATTTCAATCATTTCCTTCACAATTGGGTCGTCCAGCCCTATTTTCTTCGATGTAAGCCATTCCCAAAGGTGTACCACTATGGAGGATTCGAGGAGATTTTTAGGTGAAAAAGATCTCCCTGGTTTATTTTCAATTTCTTTCATCACGATGTCAACAGCGTGGCTAGCACGGACCGAGGCTTGCTCTACCCCAGCGCCAAAAATATGCATTGCTGATACGAACACTTTTTTCTCAAAAAGATACGTAGGTGTATAATCGGATGTGCTTAAAGTACCACCCATTATTTCTTTAAAGGGGTATATAGACTCCGGTAATTTTCCCATAAGATCGTCTTGTCTCCCGGGGGCAAGCCTTGCTTCACGCGCTAGAGTTGCTGTATTCACGATAACAGCGTTGCCGTTTGGAAAAGTAACAGTGAAAATATCTCCATATTTCTCAGCTAGTTTGCTAAATGGTCTGACAGGATCTGCTGATATGATTTGAGGAAGGTTTCCAAGGAAGGGATAAGGAAATGGTCCGGGAGGCATGTTCTTTCTTTTCATGTAGGTAGTGATGAAGTACCAGATGAACCAAACGAGAAACAAAGTTACAATAACCTCGATGATCATCATGTACCTGCTAGGAACAAATTTGCTTTGTTTAATAACATGTGATGATGGGTATTTGGTACAGAATAGCTTTTATCCGTTTCCTGAGTCAAATCTACCTTTCTTGCCTTCAATATCTGCATGAATGCTTTCTGACTACAGATAATATTCAAATATTTACTTTTAGTAAGTTGCCCGGTTTTCGTCGTGTCGTGCTATTTTTAACTTATTTACAACAATTGTTTAATAATAACATTTTTGCTCGATAAATAGTTCTTAATTTGATGCCTTAAATGTTATTAACTCTTTTTGCTTTTTAAAAATGATTTCAATTGGTTCCCATTCCAAGTTTTTGATGATCTAATTTCATAATTTGTACCTGTTGTCACCCAAGCCGCCCTTTTTTTGTTGTCTATAATGTGTTCGTGTGAGAGACTGAGAGACGTTGCCATCATGATGAACAATGACAATTCGCAATGCAACGCATTGTAAATTGTAGCTAAAAAGTAAATATTTCCTTGTCAGAACATCGCATTTCCTGCTTATCCGCGTTTGACGACATTGTAGAAAAATAGGTACGCTGAGCGTGCATGCGCCCGCTGTGACTATGGTCAGTCATACCCAGCTATTGGTAACCAGCACAGTCTCTTATTTTCTATGATGATCTGGTTTCTTGCACTTCACTTGGTGGTATTAATATTTGACTGCTGTTCTTAGGGTTTGTAATCCAAGTGAGTATATATATACATTTTAAGACCTGACCAGGAACGACTGCGAAAAATGCAGCACAAGGTCCTCTGGTAGGAATTGAACCTACGGCCCTGCGATTCCGGTGCAGCGCTCTAACCAACTGAGCTACAGAGGCCAGCTATTGAGCTGTAACCGTAAGTTCATGTATATATAGGTGATCAGGTGTGCGGGTTGTGATAAGGTGGACTTCAATGATCTGGTTTCTTGCAATTCACTTGGTGGTATTAATATTTGAATGCTGTTCTTAGGGTTTGTAATCCAGTGAGTATATATATATATATATATATATATATATATATATATATATATATATATATATATATATATATATATATATATATATATATATATATATACACGATTAAGACCTGACCAGGAACATGGTTACAGCTCAACAGCTGGCCTCTGTAGCTCAGTTGGTAATTAAAGCGCTTCACCGGAATCGCAGGGCCGTAGGTTCAATTCCTACCAGAGGACCTTGTGCTGCATTTTTCGCAGTCGTTCCTGATCAGGTCTTAAAATGTATGTATATACTCACTTGGATTACAAACCCTAAGAACAGCATTCAAATATTAATACCACCAAGTGAAGTGCAAGAAACCAGATCATTGAAGTCCACCTTATCACAACCCGCACACCCGATCACCTATATGTACATGAACTTACGGTTACAGCTCAACAGCTGGCCTCGTAGCTCAGTTGGTTAGAGCACTGCACCGGAATCGCAGGGCCGTAGGTCCAATTCCTACCAGAGGACCTTCTGCTGCATTTTTCGCAGTCGTTCCTGGTCAGGTCTTAAAATGTATATATATATATACTCACTTGGATTACAAACCCTAAGAACAGCATTCAAATATTTTCTATGATGCATATCATCATACTGTACCTGACTCTCACACCACACCCAAACAGCACTGCGGTCAAACGTCCGCGCGTATTTACTGCTTTTATTCAAAAGACTGGACTATATAGTTTTGTCTTCAATAAGGTCAAGCAAAACGAAAATTACGAGTGTTTAAACTCAGTAATTCTTGATACTAAAAAATGCGGCGAAATTCCGTACCTTATAGTTTCAGCCGTTTCCTTATAGTACACGTTTTCTTTTTACGCATTTACTCCTATTAATTTGCAGACATTTTCCCCGCCATTTCGGCATACTCGCGTACGCGCTTTACGTTTGATCGTGACGCTAGCTATTCCTTTAAACCCAACCGGGACACTGGCCCCAAAACCACAACCAGTGAGTGGCCAATGAGCGACCATGTTGGGATAACATGATACTCAATGATGACATTATTGAGCTGTTTGAGCAAAAGCTTCCAAAAGCAATGTTCAGTTTATATTTATTTATCAAACTCATTAGTAATTCAATCATGTTCCTCTCTCTGTTAACTCTGCCCCCATGTTCCTTTCAATAACTCTTTTAGTTTCATCACCTAGTAGATAAACAATGGAATTTTTTCTTCCAAAAGAAAATTTTCTTTTAAACGTAAACAAATAGGTACCATATTTACTCATTTAAAGTGCCGCGGTGCTCTTTATAAAATATTTCATTTGTAAGCGATAACAAAAGATATTAGCAGAAAAATATTAGTCATCAAAACACCGGAATACAGGAGCAAAACGTTCCGAGGCTTGTTAAAGATTGCAACTTCGTACCAAAAGCTAGTTTTCCTTCCTCGGTTGTGCATCGCAATCAATTTTTCAGACGGTGCTTATATTAAGCGCCGTGTTGTTCAATCTCGTACCCAGAGCCATCGTTGAGTGGCTCTGGGTACGAGATTGCGTGTTGTTGTGAATAAAATGCGGCGCTTATTCGAGGACGGCGCTCTTTAATAATTTTCCTCTTATATGCGGCGCTTAATCGTGGGTGACGCTTAATCGAGGGTGGCGCTCAATCGGCGCTGAAACGAGTAAATGCCGATACAACAGTAGATTAAAATCTAAAGGTCTCGTTTTTTATACACCCTGTACAAAGTTATAACGTCAAAGATATACTTGTTTTTTTCGCATTTAGGTCGGAAAAAAGTACCCTTCGGGCTTGACAATAAATCCATTGAAGTCAGTTCAACTTATTTTCCTATCTTTAGTATCGGATAGGGAGAGCCTTTCAACTTTTTTTATTGTATTTTGAGTTTCAAAATTGTCTTCGCTCCTCGGTTTGTTTTGGCGCAATACGTGAGAGGGGCGTAACATGTGCGAGAGGTCCGTATCGTGTGATACAGACCTTTCGTCAGCCAATCAGAGCGCTCCATTTACGTTACGGACCGCAGGGATTACGGAAGAGAAAAGAAAGATCATAATATATGCAAGCTCAAGTGAAGTGATTAACGTACCACGTCATATACAGCGTTTGCACTCATTTCCCAGAGACCAACTTAACAAAAGCCATGCATGGCGGCCATGTTGGTGTTCCAGACAAAAGAGTCTAATTAAAATTATTTTGAATTGGAACACCAACATGGCGGCTGTGATAGCCTGCGAACATGCTCTCAAGCTGAATTGAGAGCCTGCATTGATGACTAATGAATTTGAATATCTGCGTCTCAAATCGTGACGCGAAATTCTCATTGGTCAGATGCTACAATTTATATTTTTCCGCTGAGCTCTATATATGTCAACTGCTTAAGCAATTAATATTGATCAAATTGGTCTTGGCTATCTTATCTCAAAGCACGAAATGTTCTGTTTTGAGAAAACAGTATTTAAAACATTTAAACTTTTGCTTGAATATCTTATATTTCGAAAAACAGTATAAACTGTACGGTCTAAATTTAGTTTGCACGGTCTAAATTTAGTTTGCACGAAAGTTGTAAACAACACCAAATAAGGATAGACATTCCATATTTGCAAAAACGAACGTTACGGGGCAGATAATAGTGAGCTTAAGCAAGTGACGTTTTTGACAACACGAACGGCATGAGTAACGTCAGAAGACTGGGTCAAGGGTTGTGATTGGTGAAAAACGTCAATTTTACTTCCGGTCGACGTCCGTGTTGTCAAAAACGTCACTTGCTTAAGCTCACTATTCAAATGCATTAGTCATCGATGCAGGCTCTCAATTCAGCTTGAGAGCCTGTTCGCAGGCTACGGCTGTGACGTCATGTATAAACGCTCTATTCAATTGTACATTCCAAGCGCGAACAACAAGTCAGAACAGAATGTTATGCATAATCAGCCGTTTAGGTAGCATTATGATGTTACTTTTTGTTTTGGCAATTGCCAGGAGCATGCATGCATAACTTATAACACATATTCATTTTATAACACATTTATTCCCATTATACTTTCGGCACTTAGATTGTACACTTGCCTATGCCTTGTGACAATTGAAATAGCTGTACAGGGTGTATAAAAAAAAGCGCAACCTCGGAATTTCCCAAGAAATCGACATTGTGTTAAAGACAAAAGATTTTAGGCGCCTGGGAATTTAAAATAGCATAACTGTCAAAATTACTGCACACGTGAGTGCATAAAGCAAAATTTATGCATTTATTTAATATGCACAACAACAGTAATATGATCTATTAGCAATTCGATTTCAATTCCCAGTAGCCTAAAATCTTTTATGCTTAAAATTTGCAAAGTGATTTCTTAGGAAATTCCGAGTTGCGTTTTTTTTTATACACCCTGTATACAGGGAACGCGTCCTATCAATATCACTCTATCTGGGAAGAAACTGAATTGCTACTATGGGAGTATTTAGACTTGACTTGCTAAGAGCATTTCTTTAATATTTGACCGGTCAAATATTATTTGACCGGTCAAATATGAAGTATAGTTTTATCAGTGATACTGTGAAACGAGGCTAATCGTTGGTCTCTTATTATGCGCTTAGAAAGATGTATATATGCAGTCATATTAAATACTACGCATATATCATATACCATCCTTTCAGACAAATATGTGGCTTATTAGACTACCAATAATGAATAATCATCTGTCTACTTTGATCATTAAAAGATGAACTGACTGCCCGATTGCACTCTATAATCCCTGCAACCATATTCCATACTAGAGATTCTTGCAACTATATTCCATACCAGAGATTCTTAAGCCAGAAGGCTTAATTAAGTCAACAGTCGATATATGCATATAAAAATATATTACACAGCAAATTAAATCTGCAAATGAACTTCCACCAGCTTCAAGCTTAAGCACAGACTTTGTTGGACAGTACTCCAGTTACTCTCTGGCTGTACGGTTTACATAATAATGCTGGGGTTTTGTCATAAACGTCTATGCATGCTTTGATCTTTTCTGCAAACCAATCAAATGAATAATTTCTTACCGTTTAATTTCAACAGACAAAAACTGAGGTTGGACAGAGTACAAGATGTAAGTTGCAATATTCCAAGGTTGAATTAAATATTATATATGACTTCACTCCCCTCGGTCTAATCACAATCGAAATATCGAAGACTTTTTTCAGATATAATTCGCTGTAATACAAATACAATCAGTGAAAATTCGTCGCATTACTTGTCGAATAGACTTTCGCAAAGTCCCTCGCCTTTAATACGTCCTTATTTATGCGAATGAATTTTTGAAAGTAATATGATATGCGCGGCGCAGCGGGAGAGGAGGCGAGGGACTTTTCAAACTTGCAGCGCGCCATATTTTTCCGACCCAAAAACAGGTCGGTAACACTGATCTGTATACAATATGTGTTCGTATTGTTGATTAACTCTTGAACCAATCAGAGTAACGTGATAAAACAACATGTCAATCAAAGTGCCTATAGTGTGAAATATTAAATTTCATCTCATAAATAAACTGGCCAGCATCCAGAAATCAAATAGACAGGAAATACATATAAATCGATACGACTGTCGTAGTACACACGGAATTAAAAAGTATTATTAAATGGAGAAGTCAATTTCACAAGCGATCGAAAATGCTAGGCAGTCAGCTGGGTACTCGAAATTGAAAGAATATCAACGGCAGACAATTGAAGCCTATTTATCTGGTAGAGATGTGTTCGTGTCAGCGCCAACTGGAGCCGGGAAAAGCGTGACTTTTGAGTTAGCTCCACATGCTTTCAAATACATGTTGGAAAATAGTCAATCGTATAATCCTATAACTAATATTTTCGATGTCTTTAGCACAAAGCAAACAAATTTTTTCTTTGGATAAAGGAGAAGCACACGGTCGATCGATTGTTTTTGTCGGAGTAGCCTGTGTACTGCTTGTGTTATCAGTCATTAAGAGCCTTGAAGCGACACAAGAAGTAGAGTGCACTTAGCTACACCTTGCCAGAGCCACTTAGGTGGCCACGCATGTCAAATTATTAACAAACTCCGCCTCGTGTCAATCAATAGCTAAATTTATTCGACAGTTTTGGCGCGAAATGCAAATGAAAATCCTGCAAGTTTGACAAGTCGACCTCCCTCGCGCTCGCGACTTCGTCGCTCGCGCTCGCTCGCTCGCGTTCGTTCTTTTCTCGCGCGTGTCCCTGGAGGTCGACTTGGAGCAAGTCTACTTGTCGAACAACCAGTAGAGATATCCTCGTCCGGGTAGTTGATTCTGATTGGTCGCAACAGAACTTAATGGTTTCTGATTGGCTGCACCTAAATGTAAACAAACATTGGACTTTGGTTTTCAAAATCGAAATAATATTTTCTTGACGCTTGATCTTCATTGTAAATTTCACTTCTCTCTATGCTTCAAACTACTAAATTTTCGATGCAAAAAAGTTTCTAATGTATTGCAGATTAATATAATTTTCAATTGAAATGCAACAAGGAGTTGAAAATAATGGCAATTCCTGATCGTGATGCGATTTATTTACGTTTATCAAAGACAGAACGTTGTTGACCTTTGAACTCAGGCAATCAGAATGTACTGAGTTTAATTTAACACAATCAGAATCATCTACCCAACACCAACCTTACCTGTATTGCGAACTTGATGAGAAGCTGTTCCGAACGTTTCCGAAGGCTCAAAATGGCAGTAAAAAGGAGTGACTTCATTGTGCGTCTTTACAGCCAGATTTCGAGCGCAAAAATAAACATGTCATTCTAAAAACTAGGAATAAATACAGCCAGAAGGTTCAAGAATTTGTATTGTACAAGAACATGAACTAAAGGTGATTGTTGACAAATTTATCGTCTGAAACATTTTGTTTATCAACTAAGCAACGATAATTTCCGAATTTTCGTTTGAGATACATTTCTTTAAAAAAAACTGTGTCGCCAAATATAAAAAAATTTCGTGTTCACAATAATTAAACTTTAGAATTTATTCTACAATTAGAGTGGGTTAAGAAGCTTAACTTTTCGATAGTTTTCTTAACTTTTGAGTTTGAATTTTTGTTTTGAATAATTTTGCAAAAAATTTCGAAGTCGTGTCCGTTAAAATCAACAATTTTTTACATGAATTATATTTTATTCCATACTTTAAATGCCAGGACGCTTTCAATTAATGTCTAGTCTACCCATTTGCTATATTTTCTCATTTGTTTTACTAATTATTGACCAATTAATAAGCATGTTTTTGTTTTAGAAATTGATATTCAAATTCCCCGCCATATTTTCATAATTCGGTGCATGCGCAGACGTTTTTCCGCGGTGTTCATCTACCCAGATCTCCACAATTCCACCACAGTTGATAAAACGCAGGCTATATACCTTCGGTGACTGGCACAGTTGCCGTTGAAGTACAGTATTATATTACGGCGCACTGAATCTGTACCTGGTACTACAAGGTACCGCCGCTATAAAGTTCTTAAGTTATTATCAGTACTTATTAGTTGTAGGGATTTGTGGATATTTCCCGCAGTAATTGGCAATACGCTGTTGCGGGAACCAGGCCACACTATTCTAACAGTGTTGTAATTTTAATTAATTAAATTGTTATTGTAATTTTGTGCAGGCAAAGCTTCTTTATTAATGCAATTCTTGTATGATGTTTGGAAGCGCAGCACAATAAATAAAGTTTAGATCCTTTGTAGGAATCGAACATGCGATTCCGCTGCAGCACTCTAACCAACTGAGCTGAGTCCAGTTGTCAAGCTCTAACCTCGTATTCTAACTAGTTCTGGCGAGCTCTAACTAATTCATGTATATACTAGGGTATTGCTATACTGCCATGCCCATACCTACCAACTCTCACGGCTACCGCGTGTGTCTCACGCCTCAGCTCCATTTCTCACGCTCACACGCATGAAAGTTAAAATCTCACGCCTCATTGAAAATCTCAAACCTTATTAAAAATTTCACGCCTTATTAACGATTTCACACCTACTTGACAATTTCACGCCTTCTAGTCTTATTCAAACTTTACTATTGCTGCAATATATCGCAATCAGTCATCAGATTTCGAGGATAATACACAAATGAAATTATGTAATAATTTAATTAATATTATAACGCTCAAATACCTTTAATATTTGAAGTCTGATATTCGATCATGCAAATAATTATGCAAATAAATATGCAAATAATTATGCAAATAATTGATGCGGAGCCTGGGCAGTTTACAAATTCATTGAATGTCAGACTCAACCTCAGACTCGGATGATACAACAACAACAACATATTTGTCAGATAGCAATGATCTTGATGGCAGTTCGAATCCTAAAAAGGCAAAAGTGACGAGAAAAAACTATGGTGCTGCTGTGTATCGCACAAAATTTAATCCACAGTGGCGAGAAAAATTTCCTTTCATCGACAAAGTATCAGATGATATTTACAGCTTTTACTGCAACATTTGTAAACGAAGTGTGAAATGCAGTCATATGGGTATAACCGACGTTGAAAGACATATTTGCAATCAAATGCACATTGCTAATGTGAAAGCCGCTCGCGGTCATGAGCGTACAATCAACTTCCCCAGGAATGACAGCCCATTAATTGAGAAGGTATGTAAAATAATATAAATGTTAAACAGTGGTAAGCGGATTGGCCTGTAACATACGACCACTGACATATATACACTGGACTGAGTTCTCCAATCCAAAAGTGTCCACACAAAAGATGATGAAAGTTGACGTATGCAACTTGGTGGTTGTTTGAGCACTCTGGCCATATGACACTCTGCGCATGTCTGGATGTGTTGATGGCCCGTGCTGTACCACATGCGCTTGGGAGAGCAAGTTGCATGTCTATAAATACGAAAGTCATCGCGTATCTAGATGTGTACCAAGCTGCACTGACGAGGCGTAGGACGAACATGCATGTCTGCAGATTGTACTACATATACATATATATACATATATATACATATAGGCCTCACCCGCAATATTACCGCATGCCAACACGAAAGGCAGTTTGCGAGCCTGGTCAGCGATTCATCCCATGATTCTCAAAACCTACATGACGCGGACACTTTCCGCAAGTAAAACTTAACGGAGTAATCAGTCCAGGTTAGTATATCACTATAGGTCAGTGCATACGACGCGCTAGCGACCGACGAATTTAGCGGTTCGTTCAATTAAAATCGTTTGTTTTAATTTAAATTCGTCTGTAGAGCTTTATGTGAAACAAGCCGTAATCACTTAAATGCTTTTCTATGTAATATTTCTGATGACGTCATACATGTTGAAATTAAAGAAATGTCTCTTCTGCTCGCAGACTACTCGTGCAGAGGTCAAGATTGCAACAATGCTGGTGAAGCATAGTATTCCACTCGCCGTAGCGGACGAACTCACTCCACTTTTTCAGGATGTGTTCTCTGATAGTCAAATCGCAAAGAACTTTTCATCAAGGAGAACAAAAACAACATGTATAATAAATGGTGCTGTCGCTCCACTTTTCCAAAGTATCCGGGTAGATAAGATAAAAAATGGACCATTTGCCATAGCCACAGATGGATCAGGTGACTCAGCCCCTGAAAAGATGAACTCCCTAACAGTGCGCATATTTGATATTAACCGTGGGATGGTATGCACACTTGATATTAACCGTGGGATGGTATGGTTAGACATGTGCATGTCTTCTTCATCAACCGCAGAGGGTATATTTGCCAAGATGCAAGGTGTCATGCAGAAGCATCAAATATCCTGGGATAATTGTGTCGGAGTTGGTGTTGACAACACCTCAGTTAATATGGGTTGTAACAATTCCATCAAGACAAGGGTTCTCCAACAAAACGGAGCCATCTACATTATGGGCTGTTCATGTCACATAGTTCACAATACTGCAGGAAAAGCAGCAGAAGCGTGTGAAACTGTAAGTATAGTATGTTAAATTGTGACCGCTCAGTTTGTTTAGCATCCGACTATGAAGCGGGAGGTCATGGGTTCAAATCCAGGCCGGACCAACACAAACGGTTTTAAAATAATTGAGGAAGAAGGTCCTGCCATTGCTCTTAGACCTTCAATTATTCTCGAGCAAGGACGTTAAACCGTAGGTTAAGGCTTTCTACCGAAATGTAACTACTTCTCTTTTATTAAGGTTTCAAAATTTAATGTTGAAGATCTTGTGATAGACATCTTCTTTTGGTTTGACGAAAGTACGAAAAGAAAGGCATGTCTGAGTGAATATTGCAGTTTTTGTGACATCGACTACAGACAGATTGTGAAACATGTGAACACCAGATGGCTTAGCTTAGAGCGAGCGGTTAGTCGTGTACTACTACAGTATGATGATCTTGAGAGCTACTTTTTGTCTGAAGGTTTGTCTTTTTTCCTTCAGTTTTGACATTTTAACTTAATTTTCCTTGCACTGTTTAGTATAACGAAACTCATCCTGCTCTGTATTTTTATGTTTTTTATACAGAGGACAATTCAGCTCGGTCCACTAGGCTGCATACTTTGTTTGAGAAACCAATGACAGAAATGTACCTACTATTCTATCAATCAGCGCTACAAACCTTCATCCACTTCAACTTGTTTCTGCAGAGAGAGGATCCAGTTATTCCTGTTATTGACGATCAACGGGATGAACGGGAATTTCAGAGCAATGGATTTCAAAGATCAGGACAACCAACCTTCTGGTATATATAATAATAGCTAGTTAACCTAATCCTATTAGGACAAGTCTAAGCACCCGTTTCAACTACTTAACCAAACGTTAACTTTACACTTATTACAGATTTTAAATTATTTTTTCTGTTTAGATAACCAACTGTTTGTTGGTTTTCTTACAAGAACGAAATTGCGGGAACTCTTCAATGATGGAGACATCAGTGAGCATGACCAAGCTAAGTTTTATAGAAATGTTCGGGCGTTTTATGAACGAGCTATGGAGTATGCCCTTTTAAATCTTCCTCTGGAGGACGCACTGTTACAAAATGCTGGATTTGTGAATTTTTATGTCAGAGAGACAGCCACCTTTCAGCAAGCTGAGTATTTTGTGGCGAGGTAAGTGTCGCTGTATGTCGGTGTGTATGCCTTTGAACATAAACGACTTACATTTAGGGACAATTGGAAAAGTATACTTGACGTAGTAAAATTCTGCTATTTTAACTTTGTTCCACTTAGATTCGGTGACCTGCTGCCATTTCAGTCACCAAGAGAGATGGATGTATTGTTGGATGAATTTGTCGAGTACCAACTTTTGCAAGATGATGACATACCTTCCGACGTGTGCGAAAAAGCCTCGATTGTCATAGATGATGACACTACATACCACCGTATGGATATCGTATGGCATCACATTTCTACCTTAAAGGCTCCAGATAGCAGATTACGATTCAGTCGTCTATCAAAGGTTGCAATGTTGGTACTTATAATCCCACACTCAAATGCGGAAGAGGAGCGTGTCTTTTCAATGGTTCCGGCCAGCCCTTGACCCCAAAGGCACGCTCTCCAGCATCATGACGATTAAACTCGCGCACACCGAAGCAGCTCACCAGTTCGAGCCAAACAAAGAACTGCTTAAAACAGCCAAGTCCGCTACGAGGGTATATGAGCTATGAGCTCTTGCTGCTTTTTTTACGGTCATGCAATATCGTTGTGAATACCTCATTTGACAACCACAGTTTAGCTTATTGCATAATTGATAAAATATCACCATCTGGCATATTAAAGGCTCTCTTATTCGGATTATGGACTATTAAAATATTGTTTTGAAACCTAAAAATAATTACAAAATGTGTTCTCAGAATGCTGAAAATGCCATTTTAGACACCCTAATTCTAAAAATTTTTCGGGGGAGCATGCCCCCGGTATATGCAGCTCGTGGCTTCGAGCTGCATATACATTTAAATCAATCTCACGCACAAAATCTGCAAAAGGTTGGCAGCTATGCATGCCAAGTTATGAGTAAATATCAAGATTTTGTTGGCATCTCACTCGATTGAATAATTGTTGATGTGTTTTGTACATGGAAAGTGTTTTTTTTTCTAATATATAAATGTATATAAAATTTCTGCGAAACCAATAAACTTAATTTCTTACACTCATAGCAGAAAGAAAATGTCATGCATTGCGCTCCTTCTATATTTTGCTTCGTACAGCTAAGGCAGTGAACAACCTTCCGGTGATGCAGTTGTCAGCGCAAACGCCTTCCAGTCCTTTCACACCTGAGTTCATGGATTCGATACTCGCTACGGTCTCATGTGAAAAGGGTCAGCCGAACGTTTTGCCGAAAGTCGTGGGTTTTCTCCGGTGTCCTCCCACAGGGAGTGTTGACATGCAGGGTGGGTTAGGATTAGCTGCACAATTAGTATAGGTAATCATGCGATGGCGAGTACTATTAATCCCTAATTGTACGAGCAACATCACATGATTACTTGTTTATTATTAGCATGACAAAATTGGATACGTATACTTCTCAATGTCAGCATCATATTCTCTCGCCAAAGCCCAGTCCTGCCAGACTTTCAACCAAAATTTGGTGCTTTTGTTTGTATTTTCATTTAGTTCTTTTGTTAAAGCAAAATTTGGTGCTTTTGTTCGTATTTTCATCTAGTTCCTCCACAGCAATTTCATTTCATGCTTGTGTTTAAAGTACGTTTCCGCCATTTTGTTTGTTTTGGGAAAATCATTAATTGTACTGCAGTACAAGTAATGAAATAATTGTACTCCTCTCAACCAATCAGCATCCAGTAATTTTGTCATGCTAATAATAAAGAAAGTAATATCACAAAAATAGTCTACACGGCTAAAAACGATCAGGTTGTTGCAATGTTGATGAAAACAGGATTGAGCAATGTTTTGCTGCACACATTGTTCACAGTTGTCAACAATATTGAACATTAATTTTTTCTGTGTTGGTGTAGTGTACTCAGGTGAATATGATATTACTCGCCCGGTGTAGATATACACTCAGAGTAACACCACAAATATAATATTGAACATTAGTATAAATTTTGCATATCAAATGAGCTTTCGCGCGTTCTGATTGGCTAGTTGACTAGTAAATCTGAGGCATTATTTACCACCTGGGTAGTAAATAATGCTTTTCAAAAAGAATGATTCGGCAAATTTGGTTTCAAAATCGACAAAATATTGAAAAAATCGTCCCAGAAAAAGAAAAAAAGCACAAAATGTTGTATTTAACTTGAAAGGTAGGATTTAATATTATATTACTGTATCAAACATATTCACGGACAATTTAAAATATTTAAAACTCCGAAACATTCGCTTCAAACGTAAATCTGAAATAGCAAAAAATATCCCGACTTTTGGGAAAAGCCGTGATATTCTTTTTAAAACAATTTTGTTTTGTATCCTATAAATATCTCAATTTGTACGATACTATTTCTTTTGACTATGTCGTGTTTTCATTGTGCTGTATGGTGTCCTTTCGCTGTATTGTACTATTTGTGTTTTTAAAACTTGTAAAGTGAAAAGTGTATTAAAACTTTTATGTTAATTCGAACGATATAGTTTTACATTTCATTTTACCGAATTTCTCAGCCATTTCCTGAACAAATTAATGCTAAACAGAAACAATTTTTTAATTCTAAGTCTGCTAAAAAAGTCATTCCATCATTGTGTTTATATTCTAAGCAGAAATCGAGAAAAATAACTTTGTAATAAAGCAATAAAGTCGCACAGGAAGCCATTTTGAAAGCGTGCGTGTACAAGAAACACTGCAACACTAAACCGTAAACCGGTCGAAAACAGTTTTATTTCTGAATTTTAAACTTATAGTTGGATAACTTGGATATTTTGTTTTATTCATTAAAAATTTATACTAAAACAATTATTCGCCTCAGGCTCAGTGATTACGGTGAATATTCACCTCGGCTTCGTCTCGGTGAATATTCACCGGTAATCACTTCGCCTTCGGCGAATAATTGTTAAATATTGTCACACCCGATTCAGGCTCAACAATATTGTTCAATATTATTGACAAGTGTGAACAACGTGGGCAGCAAAACATTGTCCAATCCTTTTAAACAGCGGGCTCAGCGTTTTTACCGTGTAGGCAAAGTATGTAATTACATGTAAGCGTAATACTTGATGTAAAGCGTATTTGATCGTATCCACATAAACATTGCGACGACATGCTTGTGCGCCTGGTCTTTTCAATAGCACTGATCTGTACTAAGACTGGATAACGCATCTATAGTATACAAAAGTGAAGCCGAAAGTCACCGGCCGCCACCCGATTCAAGGGTCCCACTTTTGTATAGATTTGTATTACATATGGTAGTTTTTCCCGTTTTTCGCCTTGGCTACGTTTCTGACCGGGCCAGTTTTACAATCACAAAGATAGAAGCATACAAGAAGAATTTTGAGCAAAAAATTTGGAGTATTATGGCTTTATAACGCCGCGAAACGAGATTTACAACTTTGAAGGAGTGGAGAGCCTCAGACTTTGTTTATCAACACGAGCCCGTTTCGCTACTTGCATACAAAATCAACTCAAAATATACAAGAATTAGTGTTACTGGACGAATATTCTCAGGAAATTTGAAGAAATGAAACAGCTACATTGTGAACAAAAGCATACTGAGGTTAGTTTTAAAATACCTTGAGGCTACTTAGCCTACTTTTATAATATATGAATTTAATAATAAGGAACAGTTTTAAATGACAATTTTGTCAAGAGCATTCCCTCAACTTGTCGAGAAGTTTTATATGTTTTAAAGGAGGAAGACAAGTGACAATCAAATATTTTTTAATTCAAATTAACAATGACTCAATATATAAATGTTATTTTAATTCATATAATTATAAAATTAGCGTCAGTGTATTTTAAAACTAACATCTGTACGCTTTCGTTCACAATGTAGCTGCTTCATTTCTTCAAATTTCCTGAGAATATTCGTCCATTAACAGTAATTCCTGTATATTTTGAGTTGATTTTGTATGAAAGTAGCGAAACCAGCTCGTGTTGATAAACAAAGTCTGAGGCTCTCCACTCCTTCAAAGTTGTAAATCCCATTTCGCGGCGTTATAAAGCCATAATACTCCAAATGTTTTGCTCAAAATTCTTCTTGTATGCTTCTATCTTTGTGATTGTAAAACTGGCCCGGTCAGAAACGTAGCCAAGGCGAAAAACGCGAAAAACTACCGTCTGTAATACAAATCTATACAAAAGTGGGACCCTTGAATCGGGTGGCGGCCGGTGACTTCCTGCTTCACTTTTGTATACTATAGATGCGTTATCCAGTCTTATTTCAGTTCAGTAAATCTGAGTCGTAGACATGTTCGTAGGTTGTGTAGGATACAGTATGTAGATATTGTTGGCCGGGGCGTTTAGATGGGTGCAGCGATAGCGCACGCTGTTCGACGTTTGGTGCGGAAGTAGCTCTCTCCTCCGCAGAGGCGATTGGAATAGGCTTACATGAAGTTTCGAAACTTCATGTAAGCGCGCATCTCCCCAATCGAAACTTCATGGAAGCCTATTCCAATCGCCTGTGCGGAGGAGAGAGCGGAAGTAGCCTGAGGCGAGCATGTCTTTGACGGATATTGAAAAAAATAAAGATGTTGTATCATGATGTCTTGTCAAAATTAAGGCTATGTCTTAATTGTAAAACTTTTGAAAATTAAGGATATGGCTTAAATTTGAAATTGTCCAATCATTAGGCAAGACTTCTTGCTATAAAAGTAATGGCCTTAGTAAGGGAGGCTGGACGCGCAGGGGTGGGGACTTAAAAAAAAATGTCGCCAGATTTGGATTGATTAGTGTTAAACTAAGATTAGATTAGGAGGTTAGGGTGGGGGTTATGTTTAAAATTAAAGCAATGAGTTAATTTGAACGTTTTTTACAATTAAGACATAGCCTTAATTTTCGGAAGAGATCGAGCTGAGATTTTGATATGGCTAGTTCTGCTGGTCATTTTCTCAATCTCTCTGACGAAGTGAATACAAACTATAGCTAATTTAATAGATACAGTATGTACAATAATAACAATATCACTTGTTTTATTAGTTTGAAAACAGCAAAATCCTGCTATAGGCGTGCTTATAATTACTTCGACTATGTTGACAAATATCTTTTTTTGACTTACTGCGAACACTGGCATGAAGCTTATTAGATCGGAATTAAGAATATATTGGAATTAATTTTTAGAAGATATCGTGCATGTCTGTAATATAAACAGCGTAACTTTGTGGGAAGTGATAGCCGATAAATACTTTTCTTACATTTCATTTAAGGGTCAGTTATGTTAGTTTGCAATTTACGGTGGCTCCCTACAGTTATTAGTAGAAGTTGATTTAGTCGGACGTCATTCTTGAGTCGTACGCGTGGAATGGAAAATTCGTGATCTTTTTCACACACGCCGGCGAAATAATTTTGAGTGCTCATGGTATTGACAAAAACGACACCAGTATTCTTTAAATCGTACGGAGTTGGAATTAAAAATAACGTATGTTGTTAATCAGTTTTTAAACTTTTATTTAGTATGTTTTTTACGTTTTGTATTGTTCAAAATCTTCGACTGACTTGTTTATAAAGTCGAAACTACAGTGAAATATAAATATTACTGTACTGGGTACTAGTTAATATCAAGACTTACTAGTTCTTCGCATTCAGCTTGAATCGCCTAGTGTTCTATTTTAAATAAGGGGCCGACCATTTAACTTTTGAGGGAGGGGGGGGTGATTTTGAAAAACAATTTCCTGCAAGGCTATTCTGGACAAAAAAATATACCTGCACTAACAAACTGGGGAAAAAAATATCCTGCCCCTGTATTTGGTGGGAAAAAAATGTTGCAAAACAGCATGGTTGCAGTGATCGATTTGACCAGTCCCAGAAGATCAGGTTAATTTCTTGTTGGAAAACTCCTCAAAATGCTGGAAATAGCTTATCTGAGCTTCAAAAAATCCAAAATTTTCTGGGGGGCATGCCCCCAGACCCCTCTAGAGGCTCGCACCTTCGGTGGTTGACTCAGTTGTTGCTGCCCTATGACGTATACTTATTAGTTAAACCATGCATATATATGCTGTAGGTAGCTGCAGTGATACAGACAGGGCTGTAGCAAGGCGGGTATTGGTGGTGGTTAACCCTCCCCCCCCCCAACTTTTTTAGAATCAACATATTCAGAAAATCGGGTTGGCCATTCGGAAAATTACGGCAATTATTTAATAGTAGAGCAAAATTTTAGTTGTTAAACAGAGAAAATATTATAAAATTGTATTGTCACTATAAATTGTAAGCAAATTGTAAATTTCGTCATACTAAAACGCTTTTTTCTGACCATCAGCATTCTGTCAAAACTTCCCCAAAGTCCAGGAAATGGCATTTCAGAGACTCGAAATTTCCTCGGGCCTCCGGCCCTCGTTTTCTGCCCCCAATAAACAAAAGCTCCCTACCGCACTGCTTCTGTAATATGTCTGTGCGTAAATTATGCATATTTTTGTTAATTGTAAATTGCGTCTTCATTTTCCGAATAGCAAACACCTTCATGGCTAATAGTATGCCATGATATATTCGGAAATTATTTTCGTCATTCGGAAATTTTTGGCCTACACCCCCCCCCCCCAACTATACATGCTAGCTACGGCCCTGGATACAGACTTGCCGACTGGAACTTCTCCAGGTCCCCCGCTAATTATGTCCTCTCCAGTTGCACATCCTTAAAAAAGGCACTGAACCAAATGTTATACCTCATAGCAAAATGTATTATTAAGAGCAATGCATGAAGCTAAAAAACTCAACGTTAACTATAATCTAAATAGTATAAGCTATTGAAAAAAAAATGCTGCGAAAGAAAGTGTGGCAAAAAAAAATCGTACATGGTGATGGTGATAAAAAAAATATCTTGCACATAACGATCCCAGAAAAAAATTCCCTGCCAGCAGTAAATCACCCCCCCCCCCCTCCCTCAAAAGTTAAATGGTCGGCCCCTAAAAGTTGATCTTTCATGTAACAAATCTTTAGCGAAAAATATTAAGTCCTGAATAGTTTTACGGGCTTTTATTCGGTTTTCACAACAACTCAAGAAGTACAAATTCCCATTCTTGCCGTTTCAGATATACTGTAGTTTCTGTTTACAATATCTCAAACAAATCACAAATATCATGCAAAATGAAAACAAATGTCAATTCACACACGTGTACAGATAGAAAGTACACAAAATATTAGTTCCACGCGTGAAAAAGTCCCGCAGGAGAATTGAGACCCTGATTTTTCCTGACGTCATACACCAAAAATCCACTAACAACTGTATTTCTCCCGTGTTTCCTTCGGTGAAACTTTGCACACTGTACAGCAATCATTGATTGTACAGCACTCGACAGATTTCTAAATAACTATCTTGGTTTCCTATATATAAGCTTTAAAATTAATCAAATTTGCAAAACAAATTAAAGTTATAAATTAAATTAAATTAAAGTATAAATATCGTATATTTATGAACATTATCATCATCATCAATTAAAAGTCTGCTGGATCACGTGACCAGCTGCTACTAGGGTCTTTCCTCCACATGGGGTAAGAGCCTGAGAATGAGGTTGGTTTTTCATATACCCAATTCACAACTAAAGATCACTCGCATGTCTAGTTACTATTGTTCTAGTTCACAGAATTGAATAAAGGTAACTAAGCTATTGAATTATCTACAGGGTGTCCCCCCAAAACGAAAACTATGGAAATAAATGTGTTGTCAGAATTCGAATGCCTCAGCACTCTGCTGAACTCACACGTGCATCAAAGCTTGACGTAAGTAAATTTTATGCATAAAGAAACCGTTGAAGAAACTGTTTTAAATTCCCAAGAGCAGAAAATCGTGTGCCTTACAAAGATATTTTAATTTCTTAATAAGTCAATATTTAATATATGCACCCTGGTCAATATTTTACGCATCTTTGCATTCAGCTTAGTGCTAGGGCATTCAAATTTTAACAATACGTTATTTCAATGGTTTTGCGTTTTTTTCGGGACACCATGTACATCAGACAATATTCTTATACATAATTCTAATGCTTATAGTTACCTTTGTTCTATTCTATGCTTCTGTAAAACTAGAACAATAGTAACTAGGCATGTGAGTTATCTAAAGTTGGAATTGGCTAGCAACGATGTAAATTCCCTTACCAAAGCAAAAATATGGGAAAGATATGGCAAAGTTTGGGCCATATATGACCCATATGTGGGCATGATATGGGACAGTATAGATATCATGTGGGATTGGTATGGTGTCTAAATTTGTTAAATATTGAGATATGGAAAAGCTATGGAAACAAACACATTGCTATTAATCCTATGGGAAATCTGTGGGGTTACTTGGTCCATAGGTAATCCATATCAATGACATACCCATACCATTCCCATAGTTTATACATCAAGAACCATATGAATTCTATATCATGTTCCCAGATCATTCCCATATAGAATCCTATCTTACCCATAGCAAAGTTGTTATGAAATGATTTAAGGAACCCATGTATTTCCCATAGTAGACTATATGGGATATGTATGGATTTGTACCAAATACGTATCAAACCCATATCAAAAACATGATATGGGTATGCTATGAAGGCAACCAGACCATACCAAAGCCATATACCTCCCATATATGGCCCATAGGTTGAACCATATCAATCCCATAGTTGGTCCATATATGTCCCATATAATTTGGTTTTGTAAGGGAAACAACGCCTAGACTTCTATTTGGGCACCGGTGGCGCATTCGTCAGAGCAAGCGCCTTTCATTTCTGAGATCGTGGGTCCGATTCTCGCTATGGACTCATGTCAACACTCTGCCAGGTTAGGATAAACACAGTTACGAAAGTATTATCACAATTGTTGTAAAGATGAAACAGTCTAGGCTAATATACTACTTGATGTAAAGCGCATTTGATCATATCCACATGTAAATTTATGCTATAGAAATGTTAATCTGAAAATCTTTTATTTGAACCAAACTTTATGAAATATGAGAATGATATATAACAAATATTTTGTTGTTTACAAACTATTGAATCATTGACTGAAGACAACTTTTCCATTTACTACTAATTTGCAAAAAGAGAGTGAGGAACTAATACAAAAATAGCCCCGAATAAAGTGTTCATTGTTAAGGTAAGGGAACAAAATGTGGACTAAAATTGCACTAGTCCCACCTGACAGTGGGTGTGTGCATCATTAACACTAAAAGTGGCAATACTGTTTGAAATGCCGAGACTTTAAACTGATTGAGGAAAGAAATGTTGAGCAACAAATTTATCGCCACATCCACCTCTCAGGATGAACATTGTCCACGTAAATGCGAACGTTCATATCTTTTTATGCTTCAGGAGACATCTCCTTAAAAAACATATGGTTTCAGGATGCTCCCTTGTCACTATTTCAAATCACTTCCAATACTTGTTTCCATACATAATATAAATTTTTATCGTCTTATGCAAATAGAATATTGAATATATTTATTAATGATTATGTCAATAATAATGATAAATTTCTGTCCAGCTGGACTCATATGACCCAGGTCTCAAATAAATGAGACTGGATAGTGCATTCAAACAATAATTGGGTCGCTCAAATATGGCCACCCCATTGACAATGGCTTCACTCACGCAGATACACTATCCAGTCCAAGTTTTGAGCTCTACGTCATAGTTTTACCTTCAAAATTCTACATTCAACTCTCGCGGCTTTGCAACAACTAAATAATCATCTGGTCGAGCGACGACTTGTGGGATGGACACTTTGATACTTGGCATCTCTGCTCCTTCTGGCAAATCAAACTCGTAACGATGTAATAATGCCGAAGCAAACGAATACATCGAGACCCTTGCCAATGGTTGGCCTGGACATTCTCTACGACCAATGCCAAACGGCAGGAAAGCGTTTTTCTTGGTCCAGCCAACGAATTTTCCATCCTCATCCAGAAATCGTTCAGGTTTAAATTTTCTCGGTTCTGGCCAATCTCGTTCATTCTCGTGCACCTTTTGAATATTCAAGCCAACAAATGTTCCTTTAGGAATGTGGTAACCAGCGATACTCGTGTCACGAATTGCATTTGTCCCGACCACTTCAACCATACGGCATATCCTTCCAACTTCACATAAGGCAGCTTGAAGGTACGGCAAGTTTTCTGCGTCTTGCCTGTTCGGTACACGATCACGTCCCACGACTTCGTCCAATTCCTCGTGTATTTTTCTTTGCACTTTGGGAAATAAGACCATATATAGAAAAAACCAAGTTAGCCATGTCGAGGTAGTTTCAGACCCGACAACAACCACATTCATCATCAAGCCAGGAATAGCAGTATCTTTCGTGCCAATATCTTTCCTAATCTCTTTGGCAAGCTCTTTTTGATAAGCACTGATGAAGCTATCTGTGAGATGTCGTGCGGTGCCTGCAGTATAGCTGTTCTGGATGGCTCGATAACTTGGGGGGAAAACCTTCTCTCTAATCTCTTCCGCACGCTTTATATCTCGATTAGCTGACGTTGGTAGGTAACGTAGGAACGGTAATAACTGATAAACTGTAACAAGTACAGCACACCTGCTCAAAATCTCACCGAGTTCGTTCATGTCCTTCACAACTGGGTCGCTCAACGATATCTGTTCCGATGTCAGCCATTCCCAAAGCTGTACAACGAAGCAGGATTCGAGGATAGATTTAGGTGAAAAATGTCTGTCTGGTTTCTTTTCGATTTCGTTCATCGCGAGGTTAACAGCGTGACCAGCACGAACCGCGGCTTGCTCTAACCCAGCGCCAAACGTATGCATTGCTGATACAAACACTTTCCTCTTAAACGTATGTGCGGGTGAGTAATCACATGTGGTTAAATTGTCACCCATTATCTCCGTAAAAGGATAAATTGAATCCGGTGTTTTACCCATAAGATCTTCTTGTTTCCCCGGGGCAAGTCTTGCTTCGCGCACTAGCGTTGCTGTATTCAAGATAACAGTCATGCCTTGTGGAAAGGTAAGTGTATACATGTCTCCATATGTCTCAGCTAGTTTAGAAAATGGTCTGACAGGATCTGCAGACATGATTTGAGGAATGTTTCCAAGGAAGGGATAAGGAAATGGTCCGGGAGGCATGTTCTTTCTCTTCATGTAGGCATCGACGAAGAACCAGATGAACCAAACGAGAAACAAAGTGACAAGAACCTCGACAATCATCGTGTACCTGTAAGAAACAAATTCGCTTTGTTTAATAAAGTAGCTAATTTTATCTGGAGTTCTACGCTGCTGAAAAGTTGTAGTTCTGAATGGGCATTTCCTGCGCTTTAAGCGCGAAATGTGGCTTTTTGTCCCAAATATCTCCACTTTCATAGATGTAGATCTATATAAATTTAATATGGGCTGCTTATATATAGTATTTTCGGGTTTGTCAGACATTGATATTTACCAAAAAGCTTCAAATAAGAAGCTGCAAAACTGCCCACTTTACATTTCGTTTCCGTTTTGGAAAATGAATGCATGGCTGATTATTAATTAATTGCTGCCGAGCGTCAGCGAGGCAGCACACTATTCTTGACGTTCTTGCTTTTTCGTGTCCAGTCCTTCCGGCCGAGTTATGTATAGTCGAAACCTCGATTCGAAGAGGGGAGGATGTCGGTTTTCCGGGACATATTATGTATTCAAGTTCGTTTGTAAATTTGAGGGTGTTGTTCAACAAAATTTTGTATTCAGTGTTTATTTATATCGATGTTGAAAGGCTGTTTATAATTTTGACCGGTTTCCCAGGGTTCATATCTCTACTATGAAGACTACTATGAAAGTGATTTAATGTTTGTAAGTTTAGTCTATATAATCAGTCATCAGTGTTTATTTATCGATGTGATGAACCGGTTTAATATAAAGTTGCGAATATCCCCGTTTAATATAAAGTTGCGAATATCGAGGGAAACAGGGTTCGTATCTCCGCTATGAAGACTACTATGTCTATCAGTCTATGGCTATTGGCCACATGTACTTATGGCTATACCTGTACTATAAAAAATCTCTGGTTATTATGTATATTTACGAGTTTGAGAATCGAGGGAAACAAGGTTCATATCTCTGCTATGAAGACTAATATGTCTACGGCTATCTTATTTATGGCTACCTACTACAAATCTCTGGCTACTATGTATATGAAAGAGTTTAGAATTTATAAACTATTCAGTTGTTCAAAGTCGAGTATTGTGTTAAATTATAATTTTAGTCAAATATCCACAATATACTCCTCACAGTACTATAAGCGCTGCAGCGCTGGGTGCGCAAATTTTAGTAATGCCCGAAATATAATCTGCGTGCAAAACTTTGTGGTAGTAAAGATAAAGCGTGCGTTCAAATACCAACAAGAACTAAAACATTTGTTGTATGGTTCTCGACATTTGCCTAATACAATAATAGTACGATGCGAATTTCAACAAGTAAGATATGGTATCATATTTCATTATATAACAAACAATGTAAACTGGTGATACATTTCGCTGACATAACATCGGCCCCTTTGGACATATATTTTTCGTAATAGTCTCATTCGAAGCAGAATCCAAAACACTATTTAGAGTGTTACTTCCAAGCTTGTGTCTTCAGATTTTCATCTTTTACTCGGTATTTACAAAATATTTTTAGCGCGGCCGGTGAAAGAAACGTACCCTAGGTTGTAAACAGCGCTTTGTTTTGATGGTCTGGAAAAACCGGAAATAAATTCTACAGATCAAAGTACTCTCAGTGTTTGCACGTGCATCGGGCTATATATGGCCAAGCATACACGTGGCGCAAACGTGCGAGTAAAAACTCGATATTTAATTTGAAAAATTCAAAATAAAACATTTTTACTCTGTGCCATATTCAAACGAAACTTTCTATACGAAAGCACTTGAATACAAGGAGTATTTTACTCACATGACTCTGAGCAAATTCTGAAGAGTTTGGAAAATATTCAATTTTTTTTCTCGATATGAAATAAAGAATGTTTGGCCAAGCGGTGAGTAAATACATGATTTGAAACAATAAAAATCGTATAAAAAGGTAAAATTTTAAATTGGGATGTGACGAGAAATTAACCCATTAGCGAGCTTAGAGCTTAAGCAAGTGACGTTTTTGACAACACGGACGTCGACCAGAAGTAAAGTTGACGTTTTTCACCAATCCGAGCCCTTGACCCAGTCTTCTGAAGTTACTCATGCCGTTCGTGTTGTCAAAAACTTTACTGGCATGACTCTACCTACTGGCGAGTAAAATTGTCTGGCGCGGCGTTGATAGACAGTAAATACTAAAGTAGGGCGCATTGCCAGCTAATGGGTTGTTAATAAGAGACATTGACAGATAGGTTTGTTAACACATTTACTGACAGTACTCTACCACTGACAAGTAAAATCGTCTGGCGTTACACATGCAGTATAAATTAATTTGTCTGGCGTTAAACAGAGTTAGCTAATGGGTTAATAGACCTTATTAATGCTGTTTATCCACTTTTGACCCAATGGCCCTCATTTTCATGTTGGTTATTTATAAGTTTGTGATTGGTCTTAAATGATGAACGAGAAACAAATGTATGCAGGAAACATACGGCATATAACCATCATGTGCAGGCCTGCCATGCTAACAATGATGAAACGTGGAAATGAGCACATTGGGTCAAAAGTGAACTTATTACTCGCACTTTGAAATGAGATAAATTTAATTAGTACAGGATGCTAATGAAAATAATTTGCTTTCCTTTTTATCATGAACTTTTACAAAACTTAATCTAACTAAGAAACTTTTTATTTCGCAAACAATGCATAGGAAAGACTTGAACATTAAGAATAAAGTCTATACAAAGTCATACATAAACAAATGAAACAAACTTGCCCTATACTTCAGGATTTCTCATACTAAATCAATTCTTATAAATGTTTACGTTTAAAAATTGTAAAAAAGTTTTACAATTTGTTATGTGAAACGTTTTTCCAAGCTCTCTTACATGTATTTTTTTATACTTTTTGCCTTCTCACTCCTGGCAAACAGCCATATTTTGAGATCAGTGAGATGACCACTCACCGAACCACGCACGGTAACCCACGCCCGCGATCATTGATGAACTTTAGACTTCACTAAATGCTTTCGTTTCCCCGGGTGTAAATAACCAGGCAGAATTAATAACCTCGCCCCGGTCTTACGCCCGGAACGGCGCGGAGAGCGCCGTTGGCTCGGGGATTAGGTAGGGTCACATCTTACAAAGTGATATTACTCGTGTTTGTCGTTGTAACTTTCTACTTTTAAAAGTCCTTTTTGTCATTTTTGTAAATATGTTACGGTATTTTGTATATATTGACCCCCCTCATGGAAACCAACTGAAAGTTGGTGAGGCTAGCGTCGATTAGATTTAAAAAAAGGTTACGGCATACGTACATACATTTTTAAATTATAGTACCTCTCTGAAAATCACTTTATGTTAGAGAGTTTCCACAGGGAGCCCAAGCGTTGATCTGTGTTAGTGTTGTATGTTTTTCAGTTTACTGTTTATTTTAGTGTCTTTATATTGCCTTTTAATTGAATTATAACACTAAATTACACTAATATGTCATATAATAATAATACTCCTATTGTCGAACATATAATAACAACATATAAGTTGATTTGTATTTGTATGTTTTTCAGTTTAATTATTTATTTAAGATCTATTATTAGCTTATATAAAAGCACCGCCTTTCGAACCTGACAGCCCGTTCGCAGGATACGCGCGGGATTTGAAATAGGGGG